AAAAACAAAACAAATAAAGTTTTATACCCAAATGACCACAGAGAATTAAAACTAAATTTTAATTTAGTATTGCGATTGACAGCGATTGAACAATCCGAATGGAAAGTTAAGTTCTTTTGAGTTTTCGATATAGGAAGTAAACAAATTAATTCACAGAAAATAAAAGATACGAAAACAAATTAACATAGAATATAAATTAATTGACACCACAGACAAAAAGAACAAAACCGTGCAGTCATGTAATACTTTCGACTTTGAAATGTAAAGAGGATTTAAATTCTATTAAAACGACAGCAGAAATTGAACGTTTCAAATAAATTCTTCATATCTTTTCAAATATTTTGATTTCAGCATTTGCTGCAGATTTTAATCTGTTACAATTTATTTACGAGATCTGTAATAAAATCTTATTGAAAAATGAAAACTAGAGAATGCCTAATACTTTAATAAAAAGTATTCAAGATTCAAGGGCTAGGACTTTTTTTTTTTGTTGAATTTCAAATGGTAGCTGTATTACGTATTATATAGGTAAATGTCTCTTCAATCCGAACAAAATTTCGGTAGACTTTCTCACAGCTCTACAGGTTAAAAATCTCCTTTATTGTTTTTCACATATGCATTTCGGGCAAGTTTAATTTTCCTGCCCCTCTTCAGTGCTACAAAACAAATTCATATTGAATTTACACAAAACAACTTTATAGTAGAAAATGCTTACAAGACATAAAAAGACACTTTATAATACCTTAAGATTTCCCACATGTTATTTCATCTTTTTTACAGTACTTGTACTATCAATTTACAATGTTTTCAAATTTATAATTTCCTCTTAAGGGTGTTTTACATCGAAAACCGTACCATTATGCTACACAACTAATTACAAATTATAATTATTAGTAACATTTTAAATCACTTATTTATAACAAATTTTTTCCTTTAAAAAAATATTTACTAAAAAAGAAAATATACATACATGTTTTTCTTTAAAAGTGTCACAACAATAACAGAGTAGTATACGTTGTATAAACTTTAAAAAGGTTCAACATACAATAAAATTTTCTTTTACACGACAATGTATAATCTTAGAAATATAAACTATTGACTTGTTGCGCCCCCTATCATGTTATACCATTGCTGGTCGATTTGCATGCCATTGGAAATGTTTATTAAATTATTACCACTGTATTTCATTATTTCTATATGTTCTTTGAATTTACGTTTATATATATTTTTCTCACAGTGTAGGATTTTAATATTATTTCTATCTATTTTGCAGTTACTATTTTTGATGTGGTTATACCAAGGTGAATTATCATGTTTTAACCGTATGGCAGCTTCATGTTCTTTTATCCGTAATTCCAAAGTTCGACCCGTTTCACCTATGTATTCTTTAGGATTTTGACAGTTGCAATTAATTTTGTAAACAGTTCCAGTTTTTTTCAATTTATCAGTATTGGTTTTGTATTTTCCTAATTTATTTGAGATTTTATTTGTAATTTTATTGGTCAAAGATGGGGCCAA